TGGGTTTGCCGTGAGATGGCAAGATCAGATAGATGATGACTGTCACTTTCTTAGGACACCTTTGGAGAGTGCTTTTGCACCTCAGTGAGAAATAACACGTGACCGCCCCAGTCTGATCAGCGGTTGGGGCAGTGATGACGTTTTCTGAGTTCAACCAGAACCTAGGGGGCGACCTTGCCAAATTGATCGCGTGAGGTAAAGTCGTAGGTAGATTGGCGCCACTGCAGCCCTCGAGTTCCTGAAATTCAATGCGCATCTCACCACTGTAGTCCCTCACAGTAGTGGTTCGCGTAGAATAAGTATGACATATGTTGTCCTCATCCTTGCCACATTTGACATGCATACAAAAATTACGAAAGCCAGCCTTCGTAGAAGGCGCCAGCTGAGTTGTGTTTGGCGAAAAAGTGAGTAAGTAGGGGGTCTGGGGTGGCCCGAGAAAGCACCACGTAAACTCGAAATTAGGTGGTGTTTAGGGGTGCGCGGACGCAAGGTTTTGGAGGTTGTGTTGGAGGTGATTCTTTGTGATTTTTGAGGGGGTGGTGATGCAAAAAATGCGATTTGTATCATTTGCATCATCTGAATGGTAAGGTGTAGCTTTACAGATGCTGATGGTACCGCTGGCTTTTAGTTTGCAGCTTCACAGGTCAAAAAAGGATAGTACATATTTCTGCGCTGTTATCTGGGTTGAGCATCTGGATTTGCTATGCTATGGCAGTGCACTCCTTCTTTATTGTATCCTCCACAGATAAATCTATAACAGCGTGTGCAACGTAGGTTTTGCTGAGGAGGATGAGAGCAACCAGAAATGGGTGGGGAGAGGAACGGATGAAGACGAAAAGCACGCAAGAGACTAAATCAAAAAGGGATAATGCAAATGGAGGGAGGTGAAGAGATGGGTGCCTGCAGCATGGGAGGCTTTGCCAATATCATGCAACTATCATGTAAGTGCTTTGTGATAAACGTGCTTGGCATATGTGCATGGAGAAACTTTCGGAAAGTCAACATTGTTTGAGGGTGTTTGTTGGCTGTTGAAACATTTTGATAGGGTGAGCCATGATAGTAGGCAGGATTTCAGGCTTCAAACTTTGGATACGGTATTCATATGTATTGATTCTAGTGCTGCAGGATCAACACTAATTAACCTAGAACCCACATGTTCCACAAGCCACAAGCTACGTGTGTTGCCTTTCAGGAACAGAGTGGTGAGAATCCGCCAACATTTGTCGATAAAATTAATTGCCTACTTCCTCGGCCTAGAATCGTAGAGTCATAGAGTTTTGTTAGGACAAAGGAAAGCAGTCCATTGCAGGTCCCAGAGGAGGAAGTGCCTTAGCGAGAGGAGAGAAGCTGCTTCGCTTCAGGACTGGAGTTGGATTCGAAGCTGTCTAGCTCACGGTTCTCATCTCACCTTTTGGGAGTCTTTCACAGTCCCGCAGGCAGCGTTTTTCCTGGCCTTTGAGCATTAGCCCTTGCCGCAGATCAAGCTTACTGGGTTATGGCAAGCTTGTCATGCCAGATATGAGAGAAGCTGATCAATGGAAAAACAACTGAAACTATGAAGGTAAGGGCACCTTTAACAAGACCGCTTTGAAGCGGTCTTGTTAAAGGTGCCCTGCATTCCTTTCTCCTTTTGGCTGTATTTCCCTTCGATGAGTCATGGGCTACATCTGACAATGTCAGTTCGCCCACTTCTGGGCGCGGTGGTTGCCATTACGCGTTGACGCCCTTTCGGGCGTGAGGCGCGCACCATGTAGACAAAGTCTGGAGCCAATCAAGTCGATGATTCGTTTGAGACAAGATCGTGAAACATGTATTTCTTCTTCACTTTGCATGTAGATCCACCATTTCTCTAATATGATTAATATGTTTTGAAACTCAATTTCCTGCGTGTACCTTTCTCCGAATCTACATTGGCACGTTTGCATCCTGAGTCCAAGCCACTAAATTTCTCATCTCTAAGGCGTTGCGCAGCGGTGCCAATGTTTATTTGCCTCCCAGATGTTTAGGCGAACACGAGCATAACATTCTATAGCTAAACTTTCGAAGGGTTTTAGCACCCACCCTGTTTGATTTGGAACATCTGGAATCATTGCCAGTTTTGTGCGTCCAGGTGACTCACCGTTGGTGATCTTCACTGCGCAGAAGGTCAACACGTCGGGCTTCCCAGAGGTAGCGCAATATCATCAAGACAAATCACACACACTTCCAGGCAGTTCTCCCCTGCCAAGTTATTTCAACTAGGATCGCGAAACCAGAAACTTGTGTCCAATGCTTCGCAGCTAGTTAGCATCGTCCTGCATTGTAAACATCTTTCAAGTTTCACATGTTCCAGGCGACTGTGCACCATGGAGGCGGCAGTGCTGTGCCTGTGCCGTTCAATTTTGGCTGTGAGTGATTTTCAGATTGTCGATCAGCGCATAGCACTGCAGGAGTACCAGATGCTAATCATGTTCATGCTTGAAACAGCATTCAAAGCCTTGACCCTAGTATTTCAGTTGTGTTGTATACAAACTTTGCAAAACCTGTTGCTCCAAAGGTGCTTTGACAATTTGGGCGTTGCAGCAGCCCACATACCTTTTGTACATCCTAAGTGGTGCTGCAGTTCATGGTTTGCCGGCGCAGTATTCTTGGATGGCGCACACCCTGAGGACAGCTGCCCTGACCATGACCGTGGTGTTACTGTAGTTGGCTTCTCAATGCGCAAGTCGTTCTTTTGCTTTGATGAGTGCAGTGTAGGTGCATGATCTTGATTACAGACACCCTGTCAAACAGTCACCAACAAAGCTCTGGTTACCTGCGCTAGGTTCTGGATGTTCGACATTTATCCTCGGTCGTGTGGCAGGTCAGGGTTCTGGTGACATTATATTATGGACTTTTGCAAGTTTAGAATATGGCACAAGACGGACCCTATACCAGACTCCATTCACACTCAGGATGAAGGCTGAAGGATAGATGTGCAGCTTTTGCAGGCGTTCCTCTCCGGCTTTAGCGACATGGCCAGAGGCATCGCTATGTGCTCTGCAGCACTGCCCATGAAGGCAGGGCTTGTTAGGCATGAGCCAGGGACGTTGTGCTGTTCTGCTTCAAAAGAGCTTCCGAATTCCCTTTGATGATGGCCACTTCGGTCGGGTTCCAGAGTGGGCAAGGGACGTTGACGGTGTTTCCGTGTATAAAGTAGAGGCCCATGAAGCCTGAAGGTTGCTGCCTCACGTAGTGAAAGACTCCTGTGTTTTGCCAAATAGTTAACAGGTTCATTTGCAAGCCGAAAGCGTCTATCTCCAGGACCACAGGCCCCTCTTGGACTTGCATCCACAAATTGCTGATTTAACGGGACAAAAGACATGACTGCTACTCACTACACCTTTGTGAGCCATATCTTTATGGTTTCACTGAATGTAGAAAAAAGGGGGCAGGACCTTCGCAACAAAGGGGTAGAAAACAGCCTTCAGAAATGTTGGCCAATGCCCAGGAAACATGGGCCCCACATAAGAGCACGCTCGGTCACCGTCGGGATTGGCTTGATTTTATGCAAGCTCTTTGCTACAGAATCATTTTCTGAAATGGACTCAAATGGTGCGGAGAAGCCTGCAGGTGTAAATCCCAACACCTTTCTGGAGCTTTACATTGACCTTGCTATCGCCACAAGATCGCTGGCACCAGTAACATGATGCCAGGTAAGCTTCGACCCTCACGCAATATCAAATATCTCAAAGTTTCAGTTGACCGACCTGTGTTCGGAAGCCGATGCCAAATGACCTCCACTGCTCTCTTCACAATCAACAATATGTTCATCCTTTACTTGAAATGAATTAATTCATTACACGTGGATGTTTCATGTATCAAGGCGTCCAGGCTCACGAAGTTCTGAAGCTAGCAAGCCACCTTGAAGACAAGAGGGGCTCGAACGACGGGCGTTGTAGCATCGGTGACTCAAATGATCCTCGTGGACCAAGAACAGCGGAAAGAGCGTGAATGATTGACGCGCCCTAAAAGTAAAAAGTGATCATCAATTGCGTTCATTGAAGACCCATGCAGCACCATGGTAACCCAGCCCATCTGATTGTACGGAGGGCTCAGGACTTGTGACCGCTGAGGGTGCAGCGGAGCCAGGCCGGCGGGCGGAATAACAATAACCTGGCGCACAATGCCAGAGGACAAGGACTCCGTACCGAGTTGGCATGGCTCCGCAGCCACTTTCTAGTCTTCTGTGACTGCCTGCAAGTGGCGCTCGACAGGGACTAAGGAGAGCGAAAGGAAGCTGGTTGTGGGCCGTCTGTGGGGCAAGCTGTTGGGAGCTGCGAAGTCGATGGTTCGATATGCTGATCCGGACCAGTCTGACAACAACGAAGGGCTGAATCAGTTTCTAGCATTTTCATGAAAGTCTCGTCTAGAGACTACCGGTGCCAGAGAGTTTCAACAGACTGGACAAGTGAGGCAATCTCAAACGCACGGATCTGGAATCGGTGGCTGAACTGTTCACGGAGCTACAACAGTGCTTGGCTAGGGCCAGACTGGATAGGATGTCTCCTGGACAGGACTTCCGCTCATCCTGAGGTGGAACTCAAAGACCTACGCGGCGCAACGCTGGCGAAAGTTTTCTGAGCCGATGCAATCGATGGAGACTCGGCGTTACACAAGTTCTCAGGTGTGCCCGTGGCATAGGTTGTGAGGAATGACAACCTTTTTTCGGTTGCTGATGTGAACGAAAACATCAGCGAAGAGCTGGAAAGAGAAGGCGAACGCCGCGAGAAGGTTCGGCTGGGAGAGATTCACGACAAAATGGTTCAAACGCAGTCGGCGTAAATGGATGAATTGAGACCTCTTGGACTGTATGTGCAATTCTCACGGCAAGTCATTTAATGTAGTCATCCACGTCAAGGTTGGAGTCTGAATTGCAGGTGGAATTTCCGCAATCCAAACCTAGCCGTCTGGCCAACGCCAAGGCTGGCAAGGCATTCATTACTGGGGCGTCGTTTGCCAGAACAAGGCTCTCCACTGATATGGCTTGGAGTGAAGTACGAAGAATCCAGGAGCCGTTTCACGTCATTGGAGACAAGATGTCTCATGGATCTTTGGCTCAAGTCATCGAAAAGGGCTGAATCACCGAAAGTTGTGGTTATCAGCCGTAGGCTCATCCCTGTCGATTCTCTCTATTGCCATTGCGCGGTCCCGTGTTTCGTTTTGGGTACCTCACTTTCTTCTCCTCACTTTGCGCTGCTGACGTGCGTGCAATCAACGATTTGAAGCACGGTTGCACTGGTGTATGCCCAGAGGGGAAAGGGGTGGTAAAAAGATCCAGTTGTCAAAGTCTTTGATTGAGGCAACCTTAAGAGGACAACACCAACCCACATCTGAACCCTCATCTGCCTCCGGGATTAGGCGTGTTGTAGCCATCGCTGAAAGGATTGCCCAGGAGCCAGCTGTCCCAACAACAGAATCCCAAGAATCCCGCACGTCTCCAGTTCCGGATTCAACAACCTCAGTCGCCCAGAACGCCGCAGAGGAATCAGCTGTGGTGACCAGTGCTGGTGTTGAGCCGGTTGGGAGTAGGTTAAGCGGATCAAGAGCTTCTTCGCGTGCGTTGAAGCCTTGTCAGGGCGCCCCGTCATCCTCCAAGGGTGCCGAACTTCCAGCTGGTGGGGTAAGGTTGAGTGAGCTTGACAGGAGTGTCAAACCGAGACTCGGACCTCCACAAGCCATTCAAGAGATCCGTATTAGCTTGGACTTTAACAACGTCTTAAACATTGCGCAGGCAAGCGATCAGGAGTTTGATGGTATCCACCCGAACAACGTTTGGGCTTTGAAGGAATTCATTCGGAACAACGTCGATCGAGGTGTTCGTGTCGGAGTCACGTCCTACATAGGCACCAAGGGATCTAAGTCACAAGCTCGGCGTACCAGATTGTTTGAAGTCGTTCGTGCGTACGACCAGTCTGTTGTGGACTCCCTTCAACATCTGGGTGTTTGGATAGTCTCTTCTCCTTGTGACAAAGGGATTTTTCTCCAGCAAGCCGGGGCAGTGGTTCGCGTAGATGATCGTTTGAGTTGTTTGAATTCTTGTTCACGGTCAATACACACATACTGGGTTACTAGGTCTTCAACCTTCCATAACACACACATCATCGTGCCTTCCTTGGAGCAGGCTTTGTTGACAATTAGGACTGTAGGCAAGTCACAGCAAGCTTGCACCAGAGCCCATTCTCTTCGTTCTGGACCATACCTCTCTGATTGTCTTTTCACGATTTTCAGCTGCACTTACCCAGCGCTTGCGCGGAAGAGCAGGAGGGTGGATTTCTTTGTTTGTGCAATTTCAGCTGCACTTACCCAGCGCTTGCGCGGGAAGAGCAGGACGTTGGATTTCTTTGTTTGTGGGCCATCGGGTGTATGTATGGAAGGCACTTCTAGTTCCAGTTTTCATTTGTCGACCGACACGAGCGGATCCGGGGTGCACGGCATGCCTGTAATAGGAAACTCCCCAAGGGAATCATCTAGCAGGTCCAGTTCCAGATCCGCGCAAAACAGAGTTTCACGAGTGTTGCGTTCCCCATATTTGTTGAAGCCACCAAGCAGTATGAGGAACCGACAGGATAAGATGGAAGAAGATGAGCAGAGGCATGGTTCACCGGAGTCTTTGCCAGCACTTGAGGATAGGACCAACATCCCCATGACTAGGAACCTTGGACATGAACAACCTGGTTACCAGGGTCAAGGTGAAAGACTGCAGGTATACCATGATGAGAGAACACTTCACCTAGAACAGCATGTTCATCACCCTGAACCTCAAGTCATAGGTCAGTTGGTCGCCTCTGCGGCAAGCTCAGAAGTTCGCCGGGAAGCCGCTGAAGTGATTTCAGGAGTGTTGCAAGGGGCTAATCAGGCAGTAGCCGAGGCCCAGCAGCGTGCCACCGAAATCAGAAGGGAAGCCACAGAAGCCGTTTCTGGGGTTGTCCAACAGGCTACAAATGCAGTTGCTGCTGCGCAACAACAAGCCACTCAAGAGGTGGCAAACGCTAGGGTAGAGTCCATGCAAGCCCAAATGAGGACTGAAAGCATCGCGCGCGCTCAAGTAACAGCCTTAACTGCAGAGATACAACAGTTGAAAGCTCAGCTTCAGGAGGCGAACGTGCTGAACCAGCAGCTTCGCGAAAGAAACCAAACCGGTTTACCTGTTTTTCTTCCCCATGACAATGAGACCACTAATGCTACGACGTTGGCTCACTTGGACATTCGTTTGAAGCTAGAGCGGTTGGAGGCTAAAATGTATATGCGTCAAGAATATATTCAAGAACTTTGGATGCATCAAGCTCCAGTTCCAGCAGTTCATGAAGAAGAGGTGAAATCGCCAGTAGTTAGAATGAACCAAGGAGACCATGATGAAGGGTTTGAGCTGTTTGGGGACGCTCGGAGTTCTATGTCTGACTCAAATGATGTAGAAAGGCAATGTCTTAGAACCAAGGACTTGCACCACCTCAAGCTCCCAACACTCCCTGAAACAGCCAGCTCTTTCAGGACATGGCGCAATGCCGTCAGGACCGCCATTTTGTCATATGACCTCAGTCCCGAAGGTAGGTTGACCCCGTGCGTTTAACGCTAGAGGTGACGAGTCAGAGCAACTAAAAGAAAATTCTGGGGACTTCCCGCGTTTTGACCGGGTGATAGCTTCATTGCTTTGCAAACAAGAAGTCCTGAAGACTTCATTTGGGCTGAGGGTGCAAAGCTACATCGAGGCATGTGAGGCATCTGGCACTCAGATCAGAGGCAGGTACCTTTCGAATTTGGTATCGCGAGAATTTGACACATCTGCAGCAGCCGGTGCTATCACCAGCTCCTTGGAGTTGTTTCAGTTGCCTGTCCCGCAGGATTCGCCAGCAGCTTTGAAACATTGGAGAGACAAAGTAGTGTATATCCTTAGCCAGCTCCCCGCCGCCCAACGTCCCAATGAGGAATTGATGAGCCAATGGATTTACAACACTTTAAAGAAACATCCGCTGCATTCTCACCCCAGGTCATTTGACGCAATATGGAGCTGTGTGGAATT